CTCATTCTATCGATCTTTGATGCTCAGGCTTTGAGGAGACACTCAGAATCCTGGAAGATGTCAAACAACTTGTGAACTCTTTGAAGACTCTTATTCTGGAATAAGGCATCAGCAGGTCCTGAACTACACTCGTTCAGGGGCTCATACACAGAGTTTAAACCCATAGTGCTTATATTATCAGCCCAATTCTTCTATCAGATCCTACTTAGACCTTTTAACTATCAATGTTTTTTATCTGCAGGATGAGTCATAGTCATGGATTTATAGAGTAGGAAAAATATCAAATGTAGTGGTGTATATGGATTCATTTGCCATGATCAGCAAGGTTCTAGATTCCTTTGTTTGTTCCCTTCACCAAAATGTATTATCCACATATCCCTCATTACATGCTGAGCCCTTTCCCATTTATTTTTGGTAGCCCAGCAGTCCTTCCTTCCCTTAAGTCCCTCTGACAGCATTGCATTATTAGTCCACACCCCGGGATTCTTTTGACAGCTTGTGGACCATTTATTCTTGTCATTGCTTTCAGGTCTTCATCGTGTACGGTTATAGTCTAGCATATGGAAATTTCAGTTAACAAACTGGGCAGAGCTCAGTGTCCACTTACACATTGCTTTCTGCTGCTCACATCACCCAGAATCATATAAAATGAAAGAGCAGGAGAGATGAGGTGAGAGCTTGTCTGTAGTTCAGAGTGCACCAAGGGCCAGTTATAGTCACAGAGTCCGAGTGTTACAGTTTAGGAGATCACTCAGCTAGCTACACTTTGGAAGAATGTATTAATTCTAAACTGTTTCCCAATTTTCTCCGGAGCAGTTATGGAGAATGCCATCTGCTGCACCAGAGTGGCCCTAACAGAACACCCCATAGGGACATTCATTCTGAGTTTTGAGACTAAGCTTTTCTGACCTGTCTTTACTCCTTGGGTCTATGAGGCCTTCAATAATTGTGATTTAAAAAAAAGCTATGGCCAGAAAGAAGCAGAATGCTATCTATCAATCTTTACACTTCAAACACTTGCTTCCTGGTTGTACTTTGTTTCAAATATACATTTTGATAATACTGCTACATTTGTTATTGTTTGTGAGGTAAGTGTACACCTTAAATACAGACTGTGATTTCAAATACTCCTTAGACTAAGTCAATATTTTCTGTTTATTTTTACTCAGTTTTACTAGTGAAAATATAACACAAAGGATAATGCATGGCCAGGAGGGACTGTGTCCTTGTTCAGTACCCCATGAAGCTCAGTTTACTGAGGAACTTGGCCAACTAAAGCTTCCAGGTCCCTGCCAACTTTGCCTCATAGTACTGGCTAGTTTTATGTCACCTTGACACAAGCTAGAATCATCAGAGAGGAGGGAGCCCCAATTGAGAAAATACCTCCATAAGATCAGGTTGTAAATAAGCCTGTAGGGCATTTTCTTAATTAGTGATTGATGGGGGAGGGCCCAGCCCATTATGGGTGGTGCCATCCCTGGGCTGCTGGTTCTGGTTTCTATAAGAAAACAGGCTGAGAAAGCCATGAGGAACAAGCCAGTAAGCAGCACTCCTCTGTGGCCTATGTATGCATCAGCTCCTGCCTCCAGGTTCCTGCCCTGCTTGAGTTCCTGTCCTGACTTCTTTGAAGATGAACTGTGATGTGGAAGAGTAAGATGAATAAACCCTTTTCTTCCCAACTTGATTTTGGTCATGGTGTTTCATCACAGCAATAGTAACCCTGACTAAAACACCTATGGCTCTGCCTGTCTTTCTATTGGAAATTCACCCTATATTCTTTTGATCTTTGTTCACATTATGCTTTTTATTGGTCTCTCTATTTTCCTGCTTTAAATGGGGACAGTAGGCATTTTTTGATGGGTGATTTAGTTAGTATTTGAATGAGTAGGATAAGAAGAAGAGGAATTTCCCTCTCACCAGTGTGGTAGGCATTATACCTTTCACTAGGACTCAATTACAACAAAAAGTGGAAGAGGGATTTCCACTCTGTTTCTGAGGTAGAGGGCTAGGATATCCATTTTTCTCCTGCCCTTGAATGTTGATGCTCTTGGATATTGAGTTTTCAGAATAGAAGTAGGCTTTACATAAGGGCTTCTCTAGATCTTAGGGCTTTAGACACAGACTGGACCTGTACCAATGGATTTCTTAAACATACAGTTTCACAGAAGGCAGAATTTGAGAGCTAAAAGTCTACATAATTGTAGGAATCAATCTTAATATCTCTATCTATCTGTTTCTCTCTTTCTGTTTTAGTCTCTCTCTTCCCTGGTTATCTGGAGATCTTTAACCAACAAAGCATCTGATTGAACCATCTTTACCTTGTAGGCATTGACACAATAAAACAAATCTTAAAAACAATATAGGAGTGTTTATTCTGGAGCCAAATATTAGTGAATATGGCCTAGGGATATATATTTAGATTATGTTAAACCCAATGGTCCAAAGAGCTAATGATTTCTAAACATTTTTATAGCACTAGAACTAAGAACAGTCACACATCAAGGTACTTCTCAAATGCATTAGTGGATACTTCAAGTAAATTGGGTACTAGTCACAGGATGTTAGGTTTCACACAAAGGTAGGCAAGAAATGGCTATTTGATGGGCTAACCATAGCCCAAGATAAATTGTAATGAGGCACTGGGTCTGCAATATTCCAACTTCTCTACATCACTGCAGTTATGATCACTCAATCAGCCTTTGAAGACACAGCTTCCTTTCAGGAATTCTCATTAACACAGGCTGTACATGTACTCTAGACATTGCTGTTACACTGACTACTCTGGTCTGTATGACTGTTGCTAACTGAGGTCAAATCATCTGGTATAAAATATAATGAGTCGCTCACCAGAGATGGAGAAAGTGTCTTTAGAATAAGGAAGGGTTAAACAATGTCAGTGATGCTTCCAGTTAAATGGCTTTCCTGATAGATCCTAGAAAGAAAGAAAGCCAAGAAGAGATTCTTGAGATACAGCCTTAGAAATGGAGCAGAGAATCTAGAATGTACTCAAACAGTTGCATAGGCTGTATCCTGTGCCCATACTTAGAACTACCTTTATTCCAAAATTCCCTTCATTTTCTGTCCCTGTTGATCTTGTTTGTACTTTGACACTCAATTCACTCATTATGATAAAAAATTGCTGTCTTATCTTCAGTTCTGGTACAGATTCCTTCTGACCTGATGTTGAGAAACTCTTTGTCTTCCTCTGGTATTATTTTTCCCATACTTTTATAATTGTCTTTTTCTTTATTTGGTTCTTTTTCTCAGTCATGACTTTCTTGATGGTTAAACCTTACATATATGTACTTCTAGCTCCTGTGCCCACATCTGTTCTATGGTCAGATCCATGAAGAAGTAGAGACAGGACTGAGACTCTTCATCTTCCCATGCCATGTGAGGTTCAGAACCATCTTTTGGAAATAAGCTCATTCTTATCCCAGAACTTACAAGAATTCTAAGTCCTGGCCCATATGCAGAGACAAATAAAATTTTCTTTCCATGGGATGGGCTCCATTCAAGCTTATTAGTCATTCTCTTTTTTTTTGTTGTTTTTTTGTTTTTGTTTTTTCGAGACAGGGTTTCTCTGTGTAGCTTTGTGCCTTTCCTGGAACTCACTTGGTAGCCCAGGCTGGCCTCGAACTCACAGAGATCCACCTGGCTCTGCCTCAGAGTGCTGGGATTAAAGGTGTGTGCCACCACCGCCTGGCTAGTCATTCTCTTGTCTCTTATTTATATTTATACTTTGGGACTAGCTAATTGGGTAGGAAGCTTGTTATCCTAAATGTGGGATAGCATTTAGCAGTGGCATGGTTAGTGTTTGCTGCTCTCATGCAGGTTTACAATGAGAGGAAGTAAAACACAAAGCAGAAATACATTAAAATATGCACTTTGGCAGGAAGAAGAGTGTGGGTAAATTAAATCTTACAAAAGGAAAGACAGATCTTTCTCAGCGCACCTCTTATTGTCAGAGAGATCAGTGCTATTATAAGGAAACCGGATGCTTTGCACTAGAAAATATGCAAGGTGCTCTGTACCCAAGACTTCATCTATCGAAGCTTCCATCTTATGAAAATGGGAAGTCATCTGAGAGAAAAGAGTCTAACTAGAAAATGCCTTTGAAAAGATTTCTTGTTCCTTGAAAGGAAGTGTCAAGGGACTTGTTTTCCTAGCCATGACTGATGCAATATTGAGGAGTTGTGGAATCATGCTCTATGTTCCTAGATAGGATCGAGGCGAGACAATGAATAGTAGGGGCCTGAGGCTGTGAAGGGGAAAACTAAATTACAGTGAAGACATTAGGAGGTTGGAGATGACAAGACCATAGGATGTCCTGCCATGAAAGCTTAAAGAAAAAGGTAGGATACGTGTAGTTCAGGAAGCAAACTGAAGCGGTGGAGTTACCCAAGGTAATTTTCTCATAGGCCTCAGAAGCTGGATGTGGAGTTGAAATACTTGTTGGTTTCCCTGTTGGGTTTTGGTCACACTTTGGTATGATAATTTCTTGGTATTTGTTCATTTTTACTCTCTAGAAAATGATTGTTTATTCTATCACATTGTATGATGGAAATATATAACTTGTTTTTGAATTTTCTAAGGCCCTTAGTTAAGAGATTGCCCGAGTCTCAGAAGAGACTGCACTTATACTCTTAAACAGTTTGGAACAGTTAAAGACTATACTTTTTATTTAGATTGAATGTATTTTGCATTCCTAGATTCCATAAGCCTAATTAAACAAGGTGTGGAAAATTATAGTTTAAATGTGATGTTTGAGTATCATGGTAACAAGGGGCGATGTTGTGATGGCTAATCTTGACCTTCACACTGAAAAGATTTATAACCACCAAGAAAACATTTATTGGATGCTTATCTAGAATAAGATGAATTGTAAGAACTCACTCCAATTTTGGCTGTATTATACTGTAGGTTAGGTTTTGGAACTGAATGAAATTGATAATGTAGCTGAACAGCAATATTCATTTCCCTTTGCTTCCTGGTTATAGGTATGGTGTGGCCAGCTACTTCATGCCCCTTCCTCACATTACTGCTGCCATGATGGACCATACTCTCAAAATGTGAGCCCAAACTAGCCTGTTTTTCATTAAGGTGTATTTAAAAGGTATTTTTGTCCAAAGAAATCATAAAAGTAAGCATTGTGCTAAGCTTAGCAAACAGAGTCATGAAAATTTGGAAGGTAAATAGCATCAAGTCAAGATGTTCACTGCACATACCCTCACCTTCTTTCCTTCACATCTTTCACAGCTTCAGAGACCACTACTGCTCTGATGTCCTTTATGGATCTTGGTGTACAACTGTTGAATTCTTTCTTTTTCTTTACATATATTATAGACATTAAGATGTTCCACTTACCTCTGTTCCCCAAGTACTAAGCCCAGAGCTTGTAGTATATACTAGGTGATTGCAGTGAAATATTATCTGGCCTCCAATATATATATAGCACACCACTATCCACAGCTTCTCTGTAATTGCACCAAATCATAATGTTTTCAATATTTTTGTGAGTCTTAGAACAGTGAGGTACTTAAATAAAGACCAGACTTCCCTGTTTTGATGCTGCACATATTATTGCTTATGAATTCTGTACAGTCACTATTACTTGATCCCCAGGCCAATGCAGGCTCACCATGAATGAATAGACAGTTTGGAGATGCGTCATACAGTGACATCATTAATGGTAGAAAAGTGTGGAGAAGCAAGAGGTATTTGGGTTTTTGATTCCTGTTCTTGAGAATGTTATGGTGATATTTTTTCCTTTGTTAAATTGCATCTTAGGTTTCCGATGGAACGTGGGTAGGATTTCCAAGGAGGGTCCAATAAATAAGTCATATTAAAAAGACAAAATGTGTAAATAGATTATAATGTGGAATGAAATGTAAATTGAGTATAGGCAAACACTTTTATATGGCTTTACTATCCAACCCTATCAGAGCGCTTCAGATTCCTACAGTGGCTTCCACATGCGGTTCTATTACATGTTGCCACTCAAGGGCATTTGATGTTTTCTCTCTCTGGAAATTCATTTGCATTTAAATGATTTGAAATAATCATAAAAGCCAAGTGCTATGAAGTTTGAAATTAGTTACTGTCTATAAATTGTGATGCCATTAAAAGATGATTGTGGAGAACTTTGCTGTCTCAGATGTAGGCAGATGAAAATCTAACAAAGTACACCTTGTTACAAACCTGGACAGAATGATGGGATATGGAGTTAAATTGATTTATTCTTCTACAAGTGCCTATAAACTCAATACACTTGGGTTTATTCTCAATAACAAACTTTTTCATCTAAACTATATGCGTCCTCTCTAAATCTAGGGCTGTTTTATGGAACTGGCTAGATTTCATTCTTATCCATTATAGAAAATGTAAATTAGGGAACTGAGTTGTAGACACTCTGGGCAGCATGTTTTCTATGAGGGTCTTGGAGACCAGTGGACATGTTTTTGAAGATATTAGATTGGAGTTCTTTCCAACCTACATACTCCCAGAGCTGGATGACCTGAATAACTGTTGTATCTATAAAAGGCATAGGCTCAAAAGTTGGACGTTTTTGGTTCTAATGAGTCTTCTAGCAATAACTAAGCTGTGAGATGCTGGGGGAATTTGCTTAATTTCTCTGACTCCAAACTGGAAATAGCAGTAATATGTATATTGTACACATATAATGAGAGAAGTAATGTGGTTAAGTTTTTAGTCCATTGCTAATATCAAAGGAGGACTGCACAGTCATTGGCTACTATCTCTTTTCAAGGCATGTCTGAAATTATCCATCCTTCATCTGTTTCTCCATGTCAGTCTTTGAGATGATTTTTGTGCATGGCCTCAAAATAATTTCATTTTTCCTTCTGTCAAAATATGGAATGAATCTTCTCTCTAGTTGGATTTCAACTTTTGAAGTTTAATGAATAAAACACAGGAAATGATGCCCTTCAAGTTTAGGGTGCCACTCTGAAAACAAATCTTTCAGTTCACACTTAGTTAGGATTATTTCTTTTTCCTTAGCTACTGTGATGTGAAGAAATTTAAATCATCCTTGGGACCATGTGCTGAGATACTAATGGCTACTTGTGCTTGTTCACTAAGTGTGGTGTGCAGTTCTAGGATCAAGAAGTCTGGGATGCCGATGTGCGCTAGGCTGGTTCTTATGAAGGCTGTGAAGAAAGTGTCTGATTGACATTTCTGCTTTTTGCTTAGCTGTCTATTTTATCATGATTGATTAGCTCATTAAGAATTATGTCTCTAAAGGTAGTCACTGTCTATGGTACCGGAGATAAGACCTTAACCTTTAGATACTCAGAAGAGTTCTATCCTGATGTAGTACTGCCTTAGCAATTATGTCAGCAGGTCACCTTGAAAGATGATTTTCCAGCCTTCATTCCATGTGAGCCCTGTACACATTTCCAACTCATAAATAAAATAAGAAAACGTTGTCTGTATTTGTTGTAGAGTGTTGAGCAGAAATGAATAACTAATTTCTCTCAACTGGACTTCTAACAAATTTTCATAATATAAAATGACTTTTGTGTCCAACTTACTATCTTTCATTGTATTCCTGGGTGCCTTAGGTAGAATTTATGATCCAGGTCTAACTCCCCCAAATAAATTTGAGGTCGTTATAATACATGGAGAGTAAAAAAAAAAACATTATGATCTGTTCCTTATGTATTTTAATACCAAAAATTAGATTTTGGAGATCTGACCACAAACCAAACAGGTCCCCCAAGTCATTTAAAAGGTATGACTTGACTCCTGATGGAAAGAAACAATGAATGAGGCTCAGAAGAAGACAGACTAGAGAACTATGAAAGAGGTAGGATTAAGATGAATATTTTGGGGCCGGGCGGTGGTGGCGCACGCCTTTAATCCCAGCACTCGGGAGGCAGAGCCAGGCGGATCTCTGTGAGTTCGAGGCCAGCCTGGGCTACCAAGTGAGTCCCAGGAAAGGCGCAAAGCTACACAGAGAAACCCTGTCTCGAAAAACAAAAAACAAAACAAAACAAAAAAAAAAGATGAATATTTTGAAATCAGTGAGTTTTGCTATCCCAATGTCTGTTCACACCTGTTCAAATAACAATTGTGAATAATCTGTTCCCATGATGATGACTTCACACACCTTCAACAGGAAGTTTCTAACCCCAACCTTGCTGACTTTTTGTGTGTTTCTCCCATGTGTGTACATATGGAGAATGGTCATGGATATTGGTTGGTTTACCCAATTGCCACCTATCTTAAATTTCTTTTTCTCTTTAATTTTCTAAACTAATATATGGTGATATTTTATTTGTATTAAAATGTTATTTGTATGTTAATAAATAAAGTTGCCTGGGGGTCAGAGCTATTAGCAAGCCATAGGAAAGCAGGGCAGTGGTGGCGTACACTTGTAATCCCAGCACTTGGTAGGCAGAGCTGGGTAAGTCTCTGTGTGTTCAGGGATACAGCCATTATTGGATACACATGCCTTTAATCTCAATACAATTCATGGAAAACCTGGAGGTCTATACAGACAGGCTGTGACGAGGCAGTCATGTGGTTGGGTTTACAACCAATGAGAAGGCAGAACAGAAATTCTATATAAGGACTTTAACACAGAAAGTAGCTCTGGTTTGGAGAGGTAGGACTACCACAGGAGGAAGGGTAAGGTTTTAGCTCTTAGCTCTGACCTCTTGGCTTTCTTCTTTGCATTGGTTCTGTGTTTCTTATTTAATAAGAAGGTTGGTTACATCTACAATGACGCCCAACGTGGTGGCAAGTATTTCCAACTAAAAACTGAGAAGAAAGATTCTAAAATGGAGCTAAAAACAGCTTCCTAATTGTTCCTCTCAAATGAGCAGCAGCTGCTGGTTTGAGCTACTGGCTGGTTCCTAGTGTGCGCGCTCGACCTGCAGTATGGCGGGAATGAGGCCTCTGCAAGTGGCACATTAAACTACATGGTGGATTTAGACTTTGCTAGTACAAAACAAAACAAAACAAAAAAAAGAGGTTTCTGGGCTACACGCTGCTTGGATAAAAGCATAGACCCACGATAGCTCCTAGAGCTGGCGGTAAACCACTGCCATGTTGAGAAGCTGAGGTGGGGGGAGCCAGCAGCCACAGCTGCTGCAGTTTAAAGCAATAGATTCACAAAAAGACAGATTCAGATGTAATAGTTTACAATGTGTGCAAAATATATGTAGGCTTGGAAGAGAGAGAAAAAGGAATATATACAGTTATATAAAGAAAGACATAGTTTTTAAAAATAAAGTCTTTAAAGAGACAGTAAAATTAATATAAAAAATAAGCCACATAAAGATGGATATTACACAGAGAATATGGATTGTGTTGTCTTTGGAAATTTTAACTGCAGAAAAACATTTGATTGTAAAAGCTGTTGAGTTATGCCAAAATGTATATTTTAAAGGGATCTTGACTTCAAAATTTGGATATAAGGATATGTTGCTTTGGAAAAGAGTCTCTGCTTTTGTTCCCACAGAAAGCCAAAGGCTATGGATTTGTTCCAGATTAAGATACACCAGGTTTGACCAGCCAAGACCCCCTGAAAGGTCCTCAATGACACCATGGCCCAGATGATCCAACATCCAGAATGGTTTGAAGGCAACTGGCTCAGACAATACAGCCTCATGGACTATTCCATAATCCTAAAATTTTCTTTGTGTCCCCATAAGATACAGTGCCCCCCTCCAGCAGGAAGTAGTAAGAGAAGCTACACCCAAATTGTCAAATTATATGTAATTTTACTTTGACAAGGTTAAAACCTTCCTTTTTGAAACAAAAAAAGAAAAGGGGAAGTGCTGTGGGATGTCATGTATGTCAAGTGTGTTGCTGATTGGTCAATAAATAAATCACTGATTGGCCAGTGGCTAGGCAGGAAGTATAGGAGGGACAAGGAGGAGAATAAAGCTGGGAAGTGGAAGGCTGAGTCAGAGAGACACTGCCAGCCGCCACAATGACAAACAGCATGTGAAGATGCTGGTAAGCCACGAGCCATGTGGCAAGGTATAGATTAATGGAAATGGATTAATTTAAGCTGTAAGAAGAGTTAGCAAGAAACCTTCCACAGCCATACAGTTTGTAACCAATATAAGTCTCTGTGTTTACTTAGTTGGGTTTAAGCGGCTGTGGGACTGGCAGGTGAGAGAGATTTGTCCTGACTGTGGGCCAGGCAGGAAAACTCTAGCTACACTATTATTTTATCAATCCTTTGAGAATTTCATACAATGTATCATGATTGCATTTATTTCCAGATTCACTCATTTTCCTTGCCACCTAACTTGCTGTTCCCTCACATTTTCTCTTTCTTTCCTTCCTTCTTTCTTTCTTTCTTTCTTTCTTTCTTTCTTTCTTTCTTTCTTTCTTTCTTTCTTTCTTCCTTCCTTCCTCTCTTCCTTCCTTTCTTCTGTCTTTCCTTCCTTCCTCCCTTTCTTTCTACTTTTCTTATACATCAACTTCCTTCCTTCCTTCCTTCTTTCCTTCCTTCCTTCCTTCCTTCCTTCCTTCCTTCCTTCCTTCCTTCCTTTCTTCTCTCTCTCTCTCTCTCTCTCTCTCTCTCTCTCTCTCTCTCTCTCTTCCTTTCTTTCTTTCTTTTTTATTATACATCAAGTCCAATTTATGCCACCCAAACACTCTGGGATGTGAAGCCTACAATGGGAAGTGGCTGACACCAGGGGTCACATCTTTAAAGAAAAATTCCCCTCCCCCTCTTTGCTGCTATAAATTCTCAATGTCTCCTCAGCTAGTGGAGGTGGAGGAGACTTGGTGCCCTCTCCCTCATGCTCCCTGCTGTGATTTCTGTCTGGTTTGAACTTATGCAGGTCTTGTGCCTGCCGTCACAATCACTGTGAGTTTTTATGTTCAGCTGCCCTGTTGTGTTCTGTTGTGCTGCTGTCCTTGCAGTCATCTGCCACCTCTAGCTCTTAGAGTCTTTCATTTCCATGTTAGTTTTTGAGAACAGATAGTTCACTGGACCTGGAGTTTGCTGTTTGGACGAGCAAGCACCAGAAAGCGCTAGAGATTCTACTTTCTCTGCCTCTCCTACATAAGTGGTACAGATTTGGGCCGAGATGCCTGGCTTTTATTTGGATTTTATGGATCTGAACTTGGGTCTTTATGCTTGTGTAGCAAGTATTTTACCCAATGATCCATTTCTTTAGCCTCTTGCCTTTGGTAACATTTCCATTACTGCTGTGGAATAATGCTTTTGTACACTGGTTTAATAAAATGCTAATTGGCCAGTAGCCAGGCAGGAAGTATAGATGAGATAAGCAGACAAGGAGAATTCTGGGAAGAGGAAGGCTCGCTCAGTCAGGAGATGCCAGCCTGCCATCCAGGGAGCAGCATGTAATGACACACAGGTAAAGCCACAGAAATGGGCTGAGTTTAAGTGTAAGAGCTAGTTAGTGGTAGGCCTGAGCTAATGGCCAAGCAGTTTTAATTAATATAAGCCTCTGTATATTGGGTCTGAGCGGCTGCGGACTGGGTGGGACACAGGAAAACTTTCAGCTACACATTACTTTTATTTCTTATTCTTCACCAGTATCTCTTGGGGGTAGATTAGGTCAAGTTTCTGTCCTCAAACAGCAGTAAAGATCCATTTGTCTTGTGTGAGGTAGTTAGCGAAGGAGGTCTAGTAGGAAACCTGTTTATTCTCTAGAAGGACAGTATAGAAGCTGAGGAGTTGTAAAAAGTTTAAAGAATAGGTCCTTAGGCAGAGTGGCTGAATAGTACATGGGTGAGTATTTCTTTCACTGCCACATTTTAAGTTTCTTTCCAGGTGCTGAGATGAACATGGGGAAATCCAGACAGCTTGGGATACCAGCCTAGGCTTCAACAGAGGACCTGACACCTTCAAATACACAGATATAGATTGTTTATTCCCTGTGGCTTCTGAATTTTGGCTCACTGCAAGAGATGTTGCAGTAACTGTGAGACTGTGGAGTGTGCACAGGTTCAGTGCACTCTGTAGAGGAGCACACACTACTCTTACTGATTGAAAGGAACACCTTCTAAGCTGCAGGAAACTTTTCTGCAAATACATGCTTAAATGATAAAATCATTATGAAGGAAAAATAAAAAAAATTCAGAAACATTGTGTGCATGACTACCAATACCACTGGAGAAAATATGTAGTATTTTGGTTATGCTGATGACTTGTGGACAATCAATCAGATCATGAAAATATAAACTTTTTGTTCAAAACTAGAAAGTTGACTATATAATGAAAAAATAGCTTAAATTATGCCTAGAAGAGGCAAGTGCATACCCACAAGCACAGTATTTTCATTGCTTAGTCACCTAATATTTTTCATGTAGGTATTGCATCCTTTTAAAATTGTTGCATTTGTTCCTGCATTTGAATAACAAGGACATGCTCTATTTTAATTTGATGGTTTGGGGATACAACATTCATTATGGAAACCACACTCAAAGGATCTGTATGCCAACAGATGGCATGGGTTTGCTGAATATTTACACTCCTGTATACTTTCCATAAACTCAGACTTGCCAACTTGCATGTAAGGAAATAAAACAGGGGATATAAAGAAATGAAAACAAATATTATGAGCCCCTTCTTTAAAAATTCAGGAGAATATCATACACTTTTCTGGTATTAGGATACGCATTGCCCATTTCCATTCACCAAAGAACAGGTGCCATGTAAGCACACAGAGAGACAAAGGATTGGGTTGCAGATGACCTTGAGGCATTGCCTTAAGTAGGAAATAAAACCAAAACTGAAATGTTGATTGTTTATTGAACAGTTAGCCTTTATATTATTAAATATTTACTTGTGATGTTTGTTGAGCTGCATCATGATTGAGTACACCATCTCATCAGAGTTAGAATCAGGGTGCAATTATGCCTGGGCTTTAGTGACTCTGCCATGTGAATCCTCATCCTCACAATCAAGTACTACAAAATAAAATTAGATTGGAACTTCCTGGTAGAGTTTTAGAAATTATCAATGTACCAAATGTCTAAACTTTATAGAGAACATTTTAGAAATCACAGGATGGAATCGAAAGAAATTGCACAGTATGGCAAAGCATGTATCACAATCCAACAGCAAATATTGTGCTTGCTAATGATGGTTACCATGGACTTTTCTGCATGCCAGGGTCTATTCTATCACTACATATAGCAGAGCATTTAAAAATTAAAATACCTCTAAGTAGGTAGCACTGATTTTCATATTTCACAGATAATAAAATTGAGGAATAAAGAGATTTTGCAAGTTTTCCCAGATCACACATGATGAAACCTTTGACTTTCTGGCATGCTGGCTAAAATTATTATTTATGGTGATAAAATAAAACTTTATGATAACTTTATGTAGCACCGTATCTACAATTCGATATAGTTAAAAATGTCTGGTATTGACAACAAAATTCAGTATTTTGGAAACTTTTTTATATAGTATGTAAATAATTGTATCAAAGTTCATGAAAAGAAACAATGAATGTACTTACTATAGTAGTAAGTAAGGAGGTTCAATATGTGTTAAGGAATGTTATTATAAAAAGCAGAGATCGCAACTTCATACTGCCTGTATCAAATACTGTATAAAGATATATTCATCTTGGATAGGGAGAGAGACTGCATAGAATGAAAGCATCATGGAGGTATGGTGGGGCAGGAAGCTGGGCAGGGAGGATAAAGACAGATAGACAAGACAAAGGATAAAGAAATGAAGAACAGCAGAAAAGATGAAAAGATTGTAGTACAATGTGTATGTTTAACCAATCACACAATAAGGCTATAAGACAAGTTTTACTCAATAAATGATCTCAAAGTTGAATGAGATACTAAGTATTAATGTCTTTAATATATGAAATAGTTACAAATAACTGAAATGAAAACAACAAAAATCACGTAACATAAAAATCTCCAAACAGTATGAATAAAGACACATATGATGAGCAATATATCAAAATTTGATATCATATTAACTATAATACATGAGTAAAATGAGGTAATTATTTGACCATAATTTTAGCAAAAGTTAAAAACTTATTTTGTAGCCAGTACTGGTGAAAGCAAGGAAGAAAAATATCACATACCATCTATCTATCTATCTATCTATCTATCTATCTATCTATCTATCTATCTATCTATCTGCCTCTGGCTGGTTGGCTGTGTATCCGTCTGTCTAGCCATCCATCATCTCTCTTTCTTTCTTTCTTTCTTTCTTTCTTTCTATCTATCCATCTATCTATCTATCTATCTATACCACATACAAGTTGATAACAATATATCACAATTTAAATATACTTACATTCTAACTCAGCAGCTACACTTCAGGTCTTTAATACAGTCAAAAAGATACTGAGATCACGTCATGTGTAGATGCTATTATTAATGTTGGTGTTCCAAAATGAGCAGATATGTGGGAATATAAATTTGCTCACTCGTTATAGAAAACTGTATGTATATTCCTTAAAAATTAAAAATGGAATGTCCATATACACCAACAATCTCTCTGTGCATTTCTAAGAGAGTAAAGGGTTTTATTCTTACACTTATTACAAGATTACTGAAATAGTAAAGAAATAGAATCAGACCAAGTGCTCATTGAGAGATGAGTGGGTGGTGGGAATATAGTACAAAAGTGCAGTGGAATGTTATTTGTCCACGCAAAGAATGAAACCCTGTCATTTTCAGCAGTACAGCAGAAGAATTTGGGTCAACTGAAATAAGCAAGGCAAGTGATGATAAATCCTGCACGGTGTTGTCCATGTGACTGAGGTATAAATCCAAACTGTGATTACTGGAGGCTGGGGAGAATAGATGGAAAAGCTTTGTCAGTGGGGACAAGGATACAGGTGAGTAGGAAGTATCCATTCTGGAGGTCTGTTACAGACTAAGGTAATAGTAATCAATATCAATATATTCCAAAATAGCTGGAAGAGAGATTCTTGTTGCTTACATAACCAATAAACAACACATTTGAACAGTGAGGTTGACAGATATTCTTGTTTGGTCAATATATAAATTATACTTGTTTTGAATGAGCATGGCTTATCCATTTTTGAATCAACTTATACCTAAAATACTATAGAATGACCACAGGATGGTGAAATTATGGGCAGTTCCATTTTATTCTTTTTATTTGTGAGCCTTTTTAATAATAAATATATTAACGTACATTAAATACCACAATGAAAACGTGATATCAGGAAAATTCGATGTAATAATCACCCACTACTTTTGTATAGCACACTGCAACCTGTAAGTATAACTAAGCACTATATGTAAATAAAAATAAAATAATATTTAAAAGAATAAAAAATATCACCAAAGCCCCTCTTTTACTCTGAAGTTTTCATGTTCATGGGACTTTATCCCAAGTAAATAACTGGGTAAATATATATACATTATTCATATGCACACACACATATACAAACACCTACATATGTGTGTGTGTGTGTGTGTGTGTGTGTGTGTGTGTGTGTGTGTGTGTGTGTGTTTGGTGTGCTTAAGGGCATTTTTCATGCATTTTATGTTAGTTAAAATGTAAGTACTGAAGTACCACAAACATGGATTGAATAAATCAACTATCACATATCCCAGAAAAGCATACCATTCAGCCAGGAAAAATGTTATGAAAGGCTGGGAGTGTAGTTCAGAGATCAAACACTTGCCTGACTTGTATAAATCCATGGCTTTATTTTTCATCACTACAAAAACAAACAAACAAATAAACAAACAAACAAAAGCAGGAATACATTAATTAAACTAGAGAACATTCATGGAACACCAGCAAGGGAAAATGAAGTTTACAGGACCACACAAGCTTGACTCCACCATCATTTGAAATGTCTTATGCATAAAATATTGCAGCAATCATAGCTGGATGGTGAGATTATGGGCAGTTCCATTTATTTCATTTTACTTTTGTGCATGTTCTATAATAAAAGCAATTACATATGTTAAATATCGCAGTGAAGTTACAATCACAGTAAAAGTTTCCCTGATAATAAATCACTCCCTACTTATAGGAGAACATTTTCCACATACTTGTCTGGGAACTTATGATGGATGTAGTTATGACAGAGAGAAAAATTAGAGCATTCCCCTGCCACACCTAAGCTACCTGGGGATGTGGGAGGAATGGGAGGGGGGACTAGCATCAAAGGGTCCGAGATTGGAGGAAAGAAAATAACATGATGCAGAGAAAGAAAGCATTTTACCTGAGGCTATGAGGACCTCTGGTTCTTTGAAGAGCACTACCACAGTGCTGGAGCAGACTGGTTTTATTTATCGGCTAGTAAGAACTCTGGAAAGAAATCAGCTCAGTGGTGTTACTTTGTCATTTTGGAGTCTGGGTCCCTGTGAAGGGAGATGGTGTAAAGAGCATGAGAATTACAAACCATTTATGTATGGCTATTGAGAACTTTATGTAAATTACTGGCATTACTCATGGTTTCACCCTCCACAGTTGTAATGAGTTAAGTTTTCACAGTTTAATAATCATAAATCAGGATGCTTGAAGGGAGATCACATTCACTGAATTTTTATTGCAATATATTGTTTAACAATTTTATTTCATCATTAATTGTGCTATTATTCTCTTACTATGCCTAATTTATAACTTAAACATTGCTACATGTTGCATACATAGATAAAAGATATTATGTATAGGGTTTATATGATTCTCAGTTTCTGGCATACACTGAAACTCTTTCATATATCCCCAAGGACACAGAAGAACTAATGACTGTATACTTCATGTTCCTTTGAAAATGATCATGCTATTTTTATTTTCAAATTTTAAAATCAGGAAAACTCAGTGTATAGACAGATACTCATAAAGACAAGGGACCAAAGCAAGATTTTACCCCAGCCTATCTACACTAACAGCTGGTATGCTGTAATATATCACCCACCTTAGTGTCATATGGGCAAGCTTGGAGGTGGCAGGTCTTCCCTAACACTGGGTTGTCCATTTGCCTCTGCTTTCCCTCAGGGATTCCCTGATTATTAAATTGTTCCTCATCCTATGTGCCTGAGGAGCTCTTAGTCTCAGAGCTGCTTTGGAGGGTTATGTCTGGACACAAACAATTTATTATTAATGCAAATCCACGTATAAGTGATGGCCAGGTTTCTGGGGAAAGGGGCTGTCTTGAGAACTACCTGGCTTCCCCTTTAGAGGGGCTAGCTTAATCAGGCTGGCCCAACTCTCAGAGTTCCAGCAGAGTTTTCCATCCATGACACTAGTTCATCGATGTAGTTTCTCTCAAATGTGAGGTATGCAAGGGTTGTCGGGATAGCATTATCCATTGTAGGGTGTTTGGTAATACACCTTGCTATCTAGCCTTTTATGGCCACCACTGTTTACTCAAGTTACAACCATCAAAAGTGTCCCTGGACACTTTCCATGAGAACAAACACTCCTCAATGGAAACCCATGGGTTTCCCCCCCTCTATAAACAGTGCTTGGAAAAGCTAGAGATGAGGCTGTAGTAGCTGACTCATCAGATGCTTCTCAGGTCTGAATCTACCTGTGCACCATAGAGACAAACAAATGCAGAGTTCAGCTAGTTGACTGAGAGGGTCTCCTCTATTTCCCTTGACACACTGTTTCTGTTCATCCTGGATAGTCTTGTGGCACTTGAATCTCTCATGTTTCGAGTAGAAACCGAACTTGACTAATTTCATCAATCCTTGCAGTCTAGACTCCTTTATTCTGCTCATCATCAGTTCATGACCTTTCTCTGCTCACACACTCATTCCCTTGTAACTAGAGTTTTCCTGCCTTGCCCACAGTCAGGACAAATCTCTGTCACCCGCCAGTCCCACAGCCACTCAGACCCAACCAAGTAAACACAGAGACTTATATTGCTTACAAACTACATGGCCGTAGCAGGCTTATTACTAACTGTTCTTATAGCTTAAATTAATCCATTTCCATTAATCTATACCTTGCCACATGGCTCGTGGCTTACTGGCATCTTCACATGCTGCTTGTCATGGCAGCAGCTGGCAGTGAGGCCCTCTGCCTTCCTGTTCTCTCAATTCTCCTCTCTGTTAGTCCCACCTATACTTCCTGCCTGGCCACTGGCCAATCAGTGTTTTATTTATACAGACCACCCACAGCATTCCTTCCTCCTTTTCTCTGCAATGCAGGAGTGCTATCTTTGACTTTACAAGGTAGAGAAGTTGAGGGTTTTTTTTCTATGTGGGGTCCCTTTGTGTTCTTTCTAAGCTGGAATTTTCCATATGGCCTAGAATAATTTACACCCTACCAGAAAGTTGGAGTAGACTTATCTGCTCCTCTTTCCTTACCTTGGCAGTCTGTATTAAGGGTCAAATGATGTCACTGGTATGAACTTCACAATGTCTAAATTGACATATTTTATTAATATCATCATTACTATGATTGATTGCTCATGCCATTCAAATTATAGACAGGAAATGTAAAGTTTGATTAAACGGTCCCAACCTACATATTTATCTTTACATGACATTGGAAGGCACAGTGGAAGGAGGTTTGGAGGGCTGCCTTTATTACTTTCTCTGTGTTGGCAAGTTTTTCTTGTTTGAATTTGAGGTGTTTGGTCCAACTTAAGCAGCTTAGGCTGGATGCCCGATGGTCCCACCTCTGCTTTGTGTACTGATTTATGAGACTGCAAATGATCAACAGAGCATGCCACAGAACTTCCAAGGTAGGGGTTTTAGTTTCATTTGCCATTGTTGAGATAACGTTCCATATAAAAACATCTCAGGGGAAAAAATGTTTGTTATAGCTCACAGTTCCAGTTTACAATTCATTATAGCAAGGAAGTCAAAGCAGTAGTGACTCGAAACAGTTAAACACATCACTTAGTCAAGAGCAGAGGGAAGTAAATGCATACATGCTTACTAGTACTCAGTTATCTTTCTCTACTCTTTCTTATACAGTCCAGAACAAAAGCATAGGGAATGATGTTGCCTACAGTAGCTGTGTCTTCCCGCACCAACTAATGGAATAAAGACAACTTTCCACAGGCATACATAGGCCTGCCTGTTCTAGACAGTTCCTTGTTGAAACTCTTCTCTCAGATTATGACAAACTGACAACGAAAACAAATCATCTAGTAGAACCTAGAGTATCTGTTCCTTGCTGATCAATCCAGTTTTTACTTTCTTTTTCTTAAGGTATTTATGCCTGCCACTCATTGAGTAGCAATGAGTAACTAGCATCCCAATACACCTTCCAAAGGAAGTAAATTAAAACAGAATTCCCCAAGAAATGCTTTCAGACGTCATAGTTACAGTCACACATTTTAGTGACTATATATTTAGTTTTCAGCAGACTAGGCATGCATTATGAGATAGGGAGGCACGGTTAAAGCTTTCAAGAATGTTTACTTGTATCCCTGGGAAGTAGGTGGAAGTCCATCTGGAGAGAAGTGGGAAGTATGCCTACTATGAGCTACTGATACCTTTATAATGTGAATGGGCACACTAGCTGGCTGAAAGTTTACCATTTAAATTGGTGTGGCCCTGAACAGAGATGCCTGAAGTTACAGGTTCTAGCCTACTCTTTCCATTAAAGTAGCCATAAGCACCATGGCATACTGTTATTTGAAATGTGGTTTGTATGACCAAGGAAAATAACTGTCAGTTGGCTTTGGTTAGTTTAAACATAGGTAGCCATGGGTATGAGTCACTACTCTATTGGCTACTGTTACTTTTATCTTTCTGGAGTGTGCCCTGGATTCAAGAGGACAAAGCCATCTCTTACTGAACACTATTACTAGGGCTGAAACTAAACTTTGGGTCTCATTTTAGCTAGAAATAGATGGTAGCAACTAACTGAAGGCTCCTGTAGTACTCATTAAACAACATGTTTCTTTATATTATTTTATTTTCTATACTATTTTATTTCTCTACACTATTTCAGGTCTATAAAACAAACAAACAAACAAACAAACAAACAAAAACCCATCTTATAGATCAGTCTGGGAAGAAAGGAAGAAGTATGGATAGTGATAATATGTATAATGTATAACACATACTATATAACATCTAATATATAATATTTATGTCTAATATCTAGAGAGAGTCTCTATTCTACAAGAGAAGCCTGGACTCCAAGAAGGGAAGTGGCGCCGAAAGCAAGTGTAAGCTGTGAGTTTACCCTCTGGTCTCCCTACCAGCACATTTTCAGTTTTGTTTTTTAACATCACTGACATGACCAAAACATTGTATACACATTTATTTTACAGTCTTTGATAAAGGAATTGCCATCTCCAAAGATTCAATGAGTTGGTTTTTCTCATTTCTAAGACAAAGAAATGAGAAGCTCAAAAGACCTGAAGAAAGATGAAAGA